TACATAGTCGTTTGTTCTTGTTTTATGTTCATAAACACGCCAATTAAACTGTTTGCGTATTTCAGGTCTCCCTTATTTCTATTCCCTAATTTTCTCCATTTCCTTCTTTAAACTCAATTCCATATTCTTCTCAATTGCACAGACCCGATTTATTATTAATAATATTCTACTATTATTACTCTAAATTCTTTTTTTTAATACGGCAAGTATAATGCTAACATTATTGAAAATTGTGTGTTATTGCATTTTTTGAAGAAACCCGAAATGGTTTCTTCACAACACTTATGTACCCATAAGATGTTTGTGAATAATAATAATAACATTTCGTGGGGGAGGATAGTGTTGAAAAGTCTATGGTTCGAATTCTAGATATAATTGATTTCAGTACAAAACCGACATGCTGATTGTATACAATTCTGAGTGAGTCGGTTCCGATTTCATTTGTTAATTCCAATACTAATGACCAGATTCTAGATATTACAGAGATTTTATCCAATACAATGTCGGACAGACACAGGATGAACTTGAGAAGATGTAAAATCAATAACAGACACCTAGACACCAATTTAAGCCGTGGCGGATGTGGTGTTTGAATAAACTAATGATACCATAGTACTTGTTGAATACTTGATTTCGAATTCTAAATACAATACGTTCGTTTGTGTTCATCTAGTACTTCTTGATTCGATTGCGTTATATCGGGGATTTTTAGTTCGTACTATAATTCAAATAATTCGAAGTACCCTCATACTACTGCTGAGGCTTCTGCTATCCTGGTCGTATTCTCCTGCATTGTCTGTTGCGTTTTTGATAGAAGGGCCAGATCATCTGCGAAGTCCAGACCATCCAACTGCATCCTAGCTGTCCACTGTATCCCGCGCTTCCCCCAGATGTTGACGTCTTCATGATCCAGTCGACCACCAGGAGAAAGAGAAAGGGTGAGAGTAAGCAACCTTGCCTAACACCGGTCTTCACTTCGAACGACTTTGTCAACTGTCCTCCATGCACGATTTTGCAGTGTGATCCATCATATGAGTTCTGTATGATATTGACTATCTTCTGAGGCACGCCGTAGTGTCGAAGAAGTTTCCATAGTGTTGTTCTGTCCACGCTATCAAATGCCTTTTCGTGGTCGATGAAGTTGATTTAGAGTGATGAACTCAATTCAATTGATTGTTCCACAATGATCCGTAGAGTTGCGATTCGGTCTGTACACGATCGATCCTTACGGAATCCAGCCTTTGGTTTCGAAGTTGGGCGTCTACGGAGTCCTTCATCCTGTTTAACAATACCTTGTTGAAGACTTTTCCCGGTATTGAGAGAAGAGTGATGCACCTGATGTATCTGATTTCTGTGCCTCTGCTGGAATGTTGTCTGGTCCTGTTGCTTTGCCACTTTTGATTTGTCTGATGGCCATACTAGTCTCTTCAATTGTCGGTGGGCAAACACCTATTAGGAGGTCTGTGGGTGCTACTTCAGTGTTGGATGAGTTCAGTGGAGCTGGTCGATTCACGAGTTCTTTGAAATGTTCTACCCACCTGTTTCGTTGTTCTTCAGTATAGGTGATAACTTTGTCTTCCTTGCTTTTCACTGGTCGTTCCAGCGAGCTTCTTGATTGTATCATACAAGTTTCTCATGTTTACTTCTATTTTAGCACTTCAAAGTGTAAGGTAGTCCATCTGAGACATGTCGCAGATTACAACTACAACTTAGGTAACGCCTCTGTAGAGGTATCCTAAGTTGAAAGAGATCTAGGAGTGCTGAAACCATACGATTTGAAGTCTTTAGCTAACTGTGACGAAAATGCTTTTCGAGCAAACCTTGCACTGGTGAAGTTGAAGCGCATTTTTGGCCAGTTTGAAGGAAGAACTATCCACATAATCTTCGACAGTTTCATTTGTCCTCATTTAGAGTACGGGTATATAGTATTTCCTCACTGTTATATCCCGATAAGAATAATGAATGGTAATTTTTGGGATCCATTTGTGGACCAATACTATGAGTATATTTTTATCGTATAATTGTTATGTAACCAAACTGCTCATATTCACGTCGTTCTTATTATAAGCTCTAATTTAACCCATAGACTGTTATTACAGGACGTACCATTCTTGATTTATGGTCTGTCTGTTTATAGTACTATCTCCCTTATTCACAGCCACTTTTGGCCATATATTGTACAAATGTTATTTTCTATTTTGTGGTACGTTGTGGTCAGTTTGATTGGCATATAAACCCCGTATGTTTGAACTAAGTGATTCATATTTCAGAGGCTGAGACTTGTGTTCTGGACTCAACTGGCTGGGCTAGACAGGGAAGCAGGACCAATCAGGACTCTAGGTTGCTCGCACGTGTTTATGCATCACTGGTTCGATCGATAATTCGCTGCTCTCTGATTAGCGGTATCGTCGCGTTATACAATTACAGGGCACACAGATTTCACAAGTTATAACAAAGGATAAGTACACTGGAACGAATCCAACGGCGAACCACAAAATCCGTTTGTGGTCTCAAATTCAAGCCTTATGAAGAGCATCTTCAGTCGCCAAACCTTTACCCATTAGAGTACAGGCGTCTTAGAGGTGACCTTCTAATGGCTTGCAGTATCCTTAACACCTCTGCATATTACCTTAAACATTTACTTAAGTTAAGCTCCAACACAAACCAAAAGGGGTAAAACCTGAGACCGGAGACACGATACAGCAGAACGGACTGTAGACACAACGACTACTCCTTAAGATTTGTCAAATGCTAGAATTCTCTGCCCGGAGAGCTATTCCAAGAGACAACTTGACCTATTTTTATGGGCAAAGGATAACATCTTATTATGATTTACCAATTTCTTTTTTTCTCTATTATTGATATTATACCTAGGTCCCTTCCTGAAGGCAATGGTGATCCACTGCCGCTAGACACGGAAGCCTGTTTAGTGAAAGCTTTTTCTATTTCATTCAAAATATTTTGAACCGTTTGAATATAACGAGAATTGAGTAATCTAAACTGGCTAGCGGTTGCAGGAGAGGTTTATCATAGCGTTTCCACGCGTGTTTTGGTTCTGATGGGTGATTGAGTGCCTTTAGCTAAGTGAGGCGATTAAAACTGGTGCAGTCAGCGTCAAATAATGAGAACGTACAAACATATTGATTTCGAGGATTTATTGACCACTACAGGTCTCTTCTATGTCCCCAAAATATCTGAGGTTAGTTTTGCGAACATTAGTTCAACAGTTGAGTTAAAACCACTTCCATGTGGTTGAAATAATCCTAGAACTTGAGTCGACTATCGAAAGGATTGAAGAATGACTTCGTAAGCCCTATCTTCGAAAGGGGTATAAAACATAAACTTGAGAACTAGTGACTAGTAAGCATAATCAACGTGGTTGTTGAGATTTTATAAAAGGTCATTTAGAAAGAGTTGTTTAAGTCTCTTGACGAAAACTGTACCACTGAGCCGGTATCCAACAGTGTAGATGTTAAACGTTCTCGCGCGAGACTGAAGGCCCTGGGTTCGAACCCCACGAGTGGACTTGTGGATGCGTACTGCTGAAAAGCTTCACAATAGGGCAAAATGACCGTCTTGTGCTTCCAGGCTTTCGACGGCGGTCTAACAGCAATTGGGTTACAAAAAAGCATTATCCATTTGTCTTCTTATGTCCGAACAACTCATCAGTAGAGCTGTAGAGCTTCATGGCCACGATAAGAGTATTTGTTTTTGAGTTATTTTGCTTGGAATAGCTCAGATACATTCACAAATTCTCTTCTCCATTGCCTTAAATCGCAGTGTGACTTCATACGTGGCCTGCTACTTCATTATTCTGGATCAAGTTCTGCAATACCAGCCCTCCCGACCATTGTTGTCATTAAATTATCCAAATCTCTCATTTTCACTTAGTATTTTTAATCTGGTATAGTATCTTGAGCTAATTAATGTCTTTACCAAGTTCTACATTACTTGAACTGAATGACTGTGGGAATAGTTTCACGACCGATCACATGATGTGGCGGCTTGTTGAGTGTACATCACAGTTGCTACCCGATCGTTGTCACCGCCCTTATTCTTATCTGTTAATGACATCGTGAAGAACTATATACAGCTAGTAAAGAATCATTGACACGTAAGAAAATAATAGCTACTAACTCACAACTCGGTGTATTGAATGACTGACAAAATCCAGTGATCATCTCAAGAAGTTTAGTTACAAGTCTTGCTGTTCTGTATTAAAAAGACTATGTCTAGATATCCTGTTTTTGTTTAGATTTCCCAGACACTTGTTGTGAAACGGTCTTCATTCACTAGAGTCACTTGCGGATAGGCATCAAACAATCAACGGCTGGTCTGCAACTAAGCACTTGCGTTATTCTGTCTCGACGTTTCTTCACTCTTCAAGTAAAACTCATGTTTAATTTGTTCTCGTCCACTATGTAGAGGTAAATAAATACCCTAAATAAATGGCTTTGTAACCTTTCAACATTGGACGCTGACCATATTAGTCCTAATGAACAAATTGAGTTGGTGGCACTGGGTTATCCATCCGCAACGCATAACGAGTAGAAAAGGCTGTACTCAACAACCCATGCAATCGCTAACCAGATTAGATCAGTCGATCCATGATATACTGATAGCCTATCAAATATATCTTCGAATCTCCTCGCTTCTGTCGTTTGATTTCACTTGGTGGACACGATTCATATTAGACGGTGTTACTGGTTAAAGCGTTGTTAAATTCCAAATACCTGTGGCACCATTGGTGAGCCGATATGATCTGGTACACCAACTTGCAAACTGTGAGTCTGTTCTTTTTTGGAATTTCATATGTCATTGCTTTATCTTAACTTTTATATATTATGATATTTCTTTTTTCGTGTTTTTGGATATTTTTGCTTCCTCCTCCATTATTGTACTTCATATTTAGTCATGACGGAACAAACACCTAAGGTATTTAATTTAGAGACTGTGACTCCACCTTCATTTCAACCAATGCCCTTTTGGCCAGAAAACATCGAAGCCTGGTTCTGCTACGCAGCAGCTGACTTCTACGAGCACGGCGTGAACGACGCACGTGCATAATTCCTTGCAGTAGCTAAGGCACTACCGCGCGAATTTAACAGGTACGTCACACCTAGTATGTTTACTAGTGATGTCCCGGAACCTTACGAAACTCCTAAACAATCTATTCCTAAATGCGGAGACCTAACCGATCGACAAAGGTTAGGCCAACTCCTTAATAATATCGATCTGCAACACGGTTCAGCGACAGACATGTTGCAGAGTATGAGAGAGGTGATTGGCCAAAGAACTTCCGAAGATGGCCTATTCAGACAACTTTTCTTGTCTAAACTTCCTCAACATGTGCAAGCTGTGCTGGTCTCGTTTCAAAACAACGCCATAGACGAGCTAGCTGCATCTGCTGACCGCATTTTAGAGATCAACAAATCTTCTAACTCCGAGGTTTTTTCAGTCAAAGAAAAACCTCAAACGACCCAGAATGACATTACGGAACTATGTCATTCGCTGACACGTTACCTTCGATTTCGTAATAGCCGTAGACGTTCACGCACTCCACGTAGGCGATCTGTATCTAGACCACGAGAGACTGGTAACCCCGACTGGTGCTGGTATCATAACCAGTACGGAAAATCTTCTAGAAGTCACAGAAGACCCTGCAATTTTCCGAACTCCAAACCGACCGACACGAAAAATGTTTCGGGAAACCTCCAAGCCGGCAAACATGGCCGTCTGTTATACGTCACAGGTGTGATAACGAAAGTTCGCTATCTCGTCGATACTGGCGCAGAAGTTAGCGTTCTTCCAGCGAATTCTAACGACCGGCCTCGCGAATCTGTTTTAAACTTACAGGCGGCAAACGGAAAGCCTATCGCTACTTATGGTAAAAGGTACGTTTATCTTAACGTGGGTTTACTCAAACCCATTCACTGGATTTTTGTTGTTGCAGATGTTTCTATGCCAATCATTGGTACAGACCTCCTACAACATCACAATCGAATCATAAATACGCGCAAACAGAGGCTAGTAGACGGACACACCAATTTGCCTGTTTGCGTAACTTTCTCCGGTTGCAAATTATCTTCTGTCACACTTAGGCACACGATAGACCCATTCTATCAACCATTACTCGATAAGTATTCTGGGATATACCAATCGCAACCGAAATTGCCATGTGTAACCAGCAACGTTACACATCACATCATGACTACAGGATCACCTGTATTCTCGAAAGCACGACGACTAGACCCCGAAAAGCTAAGGTTGGCGAAAAATGAGTTCGACTACATGATAGACTTACGAATCGTACGACCGTCAAATAGCCCATATGCATCCCCGTTGCACATGGTCCCTATAAAGGACAGCAGCGATTGGCATCCGACTGGTGACTATCGGCGATTGAATGCGAAAACCATTCTCGATCGTTACCCGTTGCCCCACATTCACGATTTGACAGCTACTTTGAAAGGTACAACTGTCTTTTCGAAAATCGACTTGGTTAAAGCGTATAACCAAATCCCCATGGCTACAGACGACATACCGACAACCACCATCATTACTCCCTTTGGACTCTATGGATTTTTGCGAATGCCTTTCGCTCTAAGAAACGCTGCTCAAACATTCCAAAGATTCATAGACGACGTTTTTCGAGGTCTCAACTTCGTACATGCGTATGTTGACGACTGCCTAATAGCAAGTCCGGACAGAGTCTCATCTCAAGCATCTGGATCTTGTTTTCGAACGACTACAAAAACATGGCATTACTGTAAACGTTCAGAAATTCCAAATCGGAACTGACTCATTATACTTCCTAGGACACGCTATAGATGCTCAAGGAATTCGACCCCTTTGAACCAAATTGGCGGCCATTCTGGATTACTCAGAACCGACCACGATCAAGCAGTTACGAACGTTTAACGGCCTTGTAAGTTATAGCAGAACGGTTTTACTGGCCTGGCATCAATAAAAACGTAAGAGAGTGGGCACGCTACTGCTATAAGCTTGATGGTTTCACGAACACCTGGATGAGAAAGTTTGTTCAACGTATTGAAAACGTTGCATCGATAATGTTTCAGCACGATTGGGCGATCCCTACCTGTAGATGTGTCACAGAGTAAGGTTTACTTACCTGTTCCCATCTGTTTGATGCGTAGTTTGAGGGTTGTAGACGATAACTCGTGCCGAAGATCAGTGTCTTCTTTTTGAAGCTGGGCGAGTTTCAGTAGGTCGATCCCTTGTAAACTGTTCAAGTAAGTTATGCGAGACAAGGTGTCTGCGACTACATTGTTTGCTCCAGAAATGTGTTGGATGTCTGAAGTAAACTGTGAAATGTAGTCCAGTTGTCGAGACTCAAGAGGTGAGTACTTGTCAGAGGAAGAGCTTGAAGAAAAGGTAAACGGTATGTTTCAGCAACTGCTGGACTCGCAAACAGTAGTGTTAGCTATTATATTCCTCTTTCATCACATTAATTGATGAAGTATCTAGTGATATGATAATTTTTAATCATTATAACTATTCTTAAGGATAAAGCACTAAAGACTTGATTGGACTGTGGGTTTGATAAAGTTACAGCGAATGACGTATTAGGCTGTTCGTATCAGACTTTGCCTAGGAACTGTGATCGTTCTTGAAAATCAAAAGTGAAGAACGACGAATCTCTCTGATCTTTAGTACCCTGTCAGGAAGTGTAGACGTATCAATATCAGCTATATAATTATTTAGAGTTACAAAATATTGTCGTATTACGGAATCAAGTTCCATGTGTATTTCTTATTTGCTTGATTGGTATTCAGACATTCATAAACTTTCTCAGCGACTCTATATCTCATTTTAAAGTGACATAGCTCATCAAACTGATGTTTTGATTTCATAACAAAACTAACTTCTGTCTTAAATATCCATAGGTTTCTTTGCATTTACCCATCATCTAATTAAACTATAAAAAAGAATGGATACTAAGGAATTGGAGAATTTTTTTAGCGATCCTATGGTTTCAGCTCATATTGAATCATTCATGGATGCTCATTGTTCTAGTAATTATAAAACTTGATCAAATACACTTTTAACATTATAATAATAACAGTATTCACATGTGAAAAAGAAATTCATTCTGAACATTATGCAACACACAAAGAATTTTCAGAAATGGTAAGTAGAAATAGACAATATTCTTTATTTCACAATCCTTTCTTAGATAGATTTTCATTTAATGAACTAGTTATGGATACATAGTTATTGACTAACACTACTTTTTGTCTCTTTCAAATGTATGTTATGGTTGGATATACATCACAAGAGGCTAGATAAACCACAACTGGCTATAGGAAATATGAGATCTGGTTCAAAGCTGACTCAGGCCAAGTTACCACACTATCGGCAATACGAAAGTTATTAAGGTAGATAGTAGTGTTGGTGAATTAGAGATTTCGTGTAGAGGAAATAATTTTAAAAGATAATCAGTTTGCGGCATTAGAAGTATGAGGGTTTCGAAACCGACCATGTGGACTATGAAGAATGAATACATCTGTTCTACTGCAGCTGATCTCGAACTATTTCACCAGTCTTTAACTATTGATCACGATTATTGCACTGGCCGCAACATAGTAGCTTGTACCTTGCAAAATGACTCAGACCAACAATCAATGATTTAATAACCTGTTCGGTGTTTTGGTTGCTTCTGACTTTTCTCCAAACGGTGTGTCTAGAATTATTCGCTTGACTGCTCTACCATTCGTGACAAATACTTTAAAAACCTATATGGTCGTATAGCAATAACCTTCAGATTTCATCCATTTTCAAAAGAGGCAATAAAAAGCGAACTGTTTTTAAATATACCTATCCTTTGATAGGCAAACGAATGCTTATTCGACGTTACAGGCACGTCAGATTTGCAAAGCAAAAACGTTTTTTGTATTTGTGCTTAGATTTTCCGAACTACTAACTCATCAGGTCCTATAGTACGTCCAAAATAAATGAATTAATCTGTGTATTCAACTGCTTTGGTTCTTAGCGTTAGAACAGGTTAAGAGGTAAATCACACATTCAATTTCACCTCTCGTTTGCAGAAGAAATTCGGAAAAAATCGAGATTGTTTCTATCAATGGAGTATTTTTTTACTAATATAATTCTAGTCTGGTCTTGCACAAGTCGAAAGCGGTTTTTAGAATTTCATTTTTTATAATCGATATCTGCTTAGTACTGACCAGTGTTGATATGAACTTCCTGGCGTCCTAATAGGAATCTGTAGCATACTGAGTTCATCAATTTCAAAATAAAAGTTATTTACCTTTCATAATTATGTTTGAAAAATTACACCATTCTCCTAGTCGTTTTATTTCTGGCATATGTAAATAAAAACCTTTGAAGTAAAAACTTGATCTAATGGATACATGAATTTCCTTTAGTTATATTTCCTTATAAAAATGTTTTGAGAACAAAAACCATTGTGAAACAAATTGTTTCTTCATCGCAAATCTGATTATTTGTTAATAAACACAAGCTAACTTCCGTATCTATGAATGTATAAGTAGTAATTTTTGTGGCTACTATAAATAATAAAGCATTGTTGTTGCCGAGGTTACGTAATAATCTAGGGTAATAGAAGTCTTGTGTGTATTTAGCAGTATATGTACTAAGTTTTGCATTCAAATCGCATAACAGTTGTAATATTTGGCTTCGAGCCACTCACTCTAGATGTGGGGTCTAGCAAAGCTACCTGGTTGCCGTAACCAAGCTAGATGGATTGAGATTCGAACCTGCAACGTAGCAGCTGAAATCTGTACGCTTTAACAAATAAGCTACCAGTTCACAGTTGAGCTATACCATTATATCAATATTAGACATCATTTTGTTCAAATCTTTCCTTATTCTTTAGATGAAAAGTCTATTAAATAGCTCATCAATTGATTACAATCAAATTCAGGAAATGTATACAACTTATAAAATAACTGAAGATGATCCTTCTTTTAGTTCAATCTCTTATATAATTGCATTATGGAATTTTGAATTATTTTATCAATTAATGACTTTGGTAAATGTTGATTTACAATTAGAAGCATTACATTATATTCAACAGAAGTATGGTAATCAATTCATGTATGTATACATTTTAAATAATTTCTTTTATCTGAAGATAATATGTATCATGATCTTTCTTATTAGCATTGCTGCTAAATTTATTTAGATTCATTTAAGACAATTAGTCCCTTTGATAAATTTCCATAATGCAAGACGAAGAGGACGAAGTTTATCAGGATTATGTGATGATATAATTGCGTAATACATTTCCAAATCAATCTGATCACACATTATGTACTTGTTAAGAACATTTATATATGAAAATTAAAAGGTCAACTAGACAGATTAAAGGTAAGTCATAACAAAGAACACATACTAAATAGGCTGTATAAACAATTGAATTCCGACGGTCAAATAAGATCACAGTATAGGCAGACATCATCATCCATTGTGAAACATTTGATTGAGACTGGTCATAAGGTTGATATCAATTCAGCATTTATAGTATTATACAAAAGCCTTCAAGGACATAGGGAGGAGTAATCGAACACTGCAATCAAAGTTCAATGAACATGTGCCTAGTTGGCTTCAAAATCAATGTATGTCAAATGATCCGATCAATGTGTGAGTTAGAAAACCAGGTTCATCGATAGCGAAACATATAATTGAAACGGGGCACAAAACTGACATTAGCACAGCTTTTAGAACGTTGTATAGAAATTGTCAAGGACGAATTCTTAAGTTTATTCGTAAATTTATGCCCCCTTTATGTGTACAAAAACAATTTGTCGTAACCTTGAATTTACCTTGATAATCCTTAAGTCATTTTATGGCCTAGGATAACACGACAATTTCTTATTCTTTCTCCCCCCCCTTTTGTTATTTGATTTGAACTTTTATTCAATTAGAACAACACATATAAGCGAGCAATATTGTTTTCAATTAGATCGTCATCAGGCTTTACTCTAATATACGTGAATATTTATACGAAAATGTTAAACCAATCAAGGCGATATGGGTCAATAATCTCAATGAAATAGAATAAGTCACTACACATAATAGGTAAAAGTACAAGTTGATAGTAGTAGGAAGACAGGTGAACTGATAATAGTAACCAAAGTAATCACCAGAACATTCTACGCAGCCAATCTTGCGTTGGCCTTCTCTTGTTGACCAGCGATGTCTACTCAAACGAAGGATAAGTTACCTGAGTTGGCCTCTTCTATGTGCATTTACAAATTCAGCTGCTCCTGTGGAGATAGCTATATAGGGCGTACTACCAGGCAACTTAACCAACGAATGAGTGAACATCTACCAACTTGGTACATAAAGGGCCAGATAAAATCTATTCTCAGTTCTATATTGGGACATCTCATTGATAGCGGTCATGCTGTAGATAAGTCGAAATCATTTCGAGTTATCTATCGTATACCTCCATCATTTCCTGACGGAGTTCGTTCCTGCCTCCTACATATAGCTGAAGCCATTGGAATTCGTACACATAACCCCAATTTATGTGTACAGAAGAAATACGTGACTCCCCTATCCCTTCCATGGCCAGTTATAACTTAACTAACAATTTTTTATTTATTTTCATTATTATTATTTTTATTTTAAATTTTATTATTATCACTATTTATTTTATTCTATTTGTGTTATCATTAACCTTATTTCCACATTCATTATTTGTTTGTCATTATCCGCCTCTTTGTATTCTTCACTATCGAATTATTTACACACATCTTATTACGTAATGATTTTAATGTTTTGTGATTACTATTCCTAGTCTATTTACCCATGTTTGTTTGACCTTCTATTTCCAACGTTTAATTATTGGTGATAAGAGTTTTGTTATTGTATTTTATTATTCTCACTATTATCAGTTCACCTGTCTTCCTACTATCAACTTGTACTTTTACCTATTATGTGTAGTGACTTATTCTATTTCATAGTGATTATTGACCCATATTACCTTGATTGGTTTAACATTTTCGTATAAATATTCATGTATATTAGAGTAAAGCCTGATGACGATCTAATTGAAAACAATATTGTTCGCTTATATGTGTTGTTCTAATTTTCACTATGGGAATCTTTAATATTTTATTTAATTGACCTTTATTAATTTTCATATAAAAATGCCTTTACAAGTATATGTGTGACCAGATTGTTCGAAATGTATTACGCAAACATATGATCACATAATTCTGATAAACTTCGATTCATTTACTATTCGATCCTGCTAATTTCATCTTTTCACACTAATTTGGTATGTTGACTTGAACCAACGCATATTTGTACAAGAATTTACATTGATAATAGATGGGAGACGGATAACAATTGGAGATAGTAACTCACTGAAGACAATGGTGGGTGTGTCGCTCGATTTCGTGGATCAGTTGAAGTTAGACGTTAACACCGTTGGATGCCGGCTCAGTGGTCTAGTGGTCAGGTGATCGCGTGCGAAATCAGTAGGTCCTGGGTCCGAATCTCGCAGGGGGCGAGGTCGTGAATGCACACTGCTGAGGAGCCCCACAATAGGACGAGACGGCCGTCCAGTGCTTCCAGGTTTCCCATCGTGGTCTAACTTCAAATGACTCATGATCTTAACCATTGAAAGAGCCATTTATATTTAGAGAGCTTTGAAAAAAATCTCATATGAAATTAACAATCCTTATCATTTCTATAGCACAGTATGTCACGTGAAACTAAATCCATGAGTTTTAGACACTTTATCAAGATTTTTATACTTGACTATGAACCATACTACTAGTCTAGGTCAGGCAATACTATATACGGTATAATAGTTGCCTAATTCTCTCTGATTCTCATCTGTTCTTTATTTTGTTTTAATCGATAATGAACACTTTTCATGTATAACATATCTGTAAAAAAACGAACCTATCTAAGCTATCTTGCCGTTTTGAATAAATGATCGTTTTATAGTATTTATCATAACTAATTTCATTGTTACGAGTAATTGCTGAAACCATATGCACACTTATTACAATTCATATTCAGTTTTTATTCAATAATTATAATTGCCCATTATTGATTAATAAATTCTATCGGTTCTTATTTTTGAAACTAACTTTCTTTTTAGACAAACGTATTCAATCAACAATAATCATGATTCCTTGGGTAATAATTCTACTGAAATAAATAAAAATGAACTAACTGATATGTTGTTAGAAAAATCTCAACAGAAAAATGGAATGGTGAAGGTAATTTGACCGAAATCTCTGTGTGTGTGTGTGTAGGAGATCAATACCAAGAGTTAAATCTTGATATTTACAAGTAAACTAAATATTGGGTAGAATGTTAGTTATAAAATAATGATGTATTCGTGATAAATTAGAAATTTGTATTTCCAACATTTCGTGACTTAGTGTAGGCCAATTCTTCAGAGAATAAATATAAATAACCACATTAAATTAATATTAGTTTAAATAGAATATACTGTTTATTCTTTATTGTTTGAACTAGTATTAATATAATCAGGTTGTTTGTTTTTCTTCTCTGAAGAGGTGACTTACAATAAGTCACGAAACATCAATAATTCAAATTTTTATTCATTAATTGATCACAAATACATCATTATTTTATTATTGTACGTTTTGTTTGTATTGTTCTTCTTATTCTTTTCTTTAAATCAACTTTCTAGACAATCAAAGAAACAATTCAAAGTGAACTTTGTAAAAATCAACATAATCAGAACGATGGACAATTATTAATAGAGGCAAGCTTTTAATTATGTGCAAATTCTGTTTTCCTCTCATGTATATATATATACCGTTTTTTGAACATTTACGCATTTTTGACTCTCCTGGCCTTTAGGAATCTATTTATCAAAAGATTAAACAGTTTTACAGTAAGTAATAATATGCTCAAATTAAAAAACCCACTTTTAAGATGATAAATCCAACAACATTGGTTGATTTTCAACACAGACAATTTTAATAGTGACCACGTCAGTATGGCTGAACAAATAAAAATTGTGCCAATGAAATAGAGGGAAGAAAATTGTATGATAATAATCTTTTTACGAAGTTGCGCCACTGTACAACATTGTCTTCAGTGAGCTGATATCTCACAACAGATGCGCACTGCTGAGGAGTCCCATACTAGGACGAAACGGCCTTCCAGGTTTTCCATGGTGGTCTAGTTTCAATTGACTCATGATTTCAACCTGTGAAATTTCTAAAAATCTCCACAAAAACCATTCTGATAATAATCTTTTTACTCAAGAGTAAGATAATAGCAATTAACAAATTTCACAGGTAGTCATTATTATAATTTGTGGTGCTATTGAAAATCAAGAAGTATTGGATAACTGTTTCATCCTAGTATAGGATTGCTCAGCATTTCGTATTGTTGCTTAAAATATGTGTTTAAAAATATGTATTTTCAAAATTTTCATAGGTCATGCGTTTTTATCAGTAGTCGATTTAAATCAGATATGAGATTGTGGGTTGTGACATTGGATAGATGAATGATTTGCTTGATTACAGTAGGCCACACGTCTTCATTTTGTTTATGAAGCTACCATGAGATGTGTAATCAGTTTGACTGTACTCCGTAAACCATAGACACCTACAACCATACACAGGATCAATCTAGTAGTTTTCGAATCATGAAGTCAGCAGTTTTGCCAGCGGTTGGTTTGCCAAGTTATATTTTTATATAGTATAATTTATTTTCTGGAGTAGACTAGTCGTTTCAGCCTTAAATAGCTGAATGGTTTCTTTTTTAAAATGACACTTAGGCCATTTAGTCTTATATGTGATTCATAGACATGCTCTCATCTTGAGTTATTTAGAAAGGAATCTAATCAATTAACCAGTTGTTTAATCTGGTTTCTCATATCAATTTACTTACCCTTAGCAGCTTAATTGTGTAAGGATTATTCTTTAGATTTATCTCATCAATCAGAAGTAAGTTACTTAATAGGCATTGTTATAAAATAGTTTTTAATTGAAAAATAAATTTAACGCACATATGGATAAATCTATTCCAACAATTCTACTGTTTAGTAGTTGAATTCATGAGTCATTTGAAGCTAGACCACCATGGAAAACTTCGAAGCAATGGAGGGTCGTTTCGTCTTATTATGGAACTCCGCTCGTAGCTCTTCTAGAGCTACTGTCGGGCCCAAGCCCGGGTAAAGGAGGAGGGTTGGGCATGGGGTTAGCGACCCCATCCCGTAGAAAAATAACTTGTTAAAAAAACGCTTACCAGAAAAAAAACAATTCAGACCAGTCAAACTCTGCCTTGGGAGTTAGAAGGTCTTTATTTAGAGGAAATATCAGTCAGTCAGCTACAACGTAGGACCAGGCACATATGTGCATCGGTCCAGGTTGCCATACCGCGTCAGCACAACAAGATGAACACCGGATTCATAGCAGCGGTTAGGTTAGAAGAAATATGACACCTCATGGTAAAAGGCGAGTTTCTTCGGAAGCCACGAGGCCGATGCCCCTTCTAACAACCAGAGCAACAATTTTTATAGGTACATGGGACACCACAAAGACCAGTCAAGTAACAACGGAACTGAGAAGATACAACTTGGCTGTACTGGGAATCAGCGAAACCCATCGGACCCAAGCTGGACAACAAAGGCTAAATACGGAAGAGATGCTGCTATACTTCGGCCACGAAGAGGAAAATGCTCCACACACCCAGGTAGTTGCTCTAATGCTGTCCAAAGTAGCACGAAATGCACTTGTATGATGGGAATCTCAGGGATCCAAAATCATCAAAGTATTATTCAAAACAAAGAAGGAGGGATCACAATGAGTATTATCCAATGTTATGCACCCACCGATGATAGCAAGGACGACGAGAAAGATCAATTCTATGAGAGGCTGCAACTAATCATTTAGAAATGCCCTCACCATTCGAATGAGAGATCTAAATGCCAAAGTCGGAATAGACAACACCGGATATGAAGATATTATGGGACGACATGGACTGGGACAGAGAAACAAAAATGGAGAAAGATTTGCAAATCTATGTGCATTCAACAAATTTTGCCCCAAAATACTGACGATAATTCCACTAACTCGACTATGTTCAGTTGCTCACGAAGAATGTCTACCACTTCCTCTATTTACTTTTTAGAATTTCGGAAGAACACCTAAGATACCTTATTTTATTCCGTATTATTATTCAGATCTGGGAAACTCATGTGATTATTTACTGTGAATATAGGGCTACAACGCACCATAAATAAATAATCTTAATGTGTGCACAGCTAGAACATTTATGGTACAAAACTGGAGTAACAGCTGTTGGTTTGTTCTCTGCCATAATAGGTTATTGCTGATGGTGTCCGTCCAACGGACAATTGTTTATAAATACATGTACTTTTATGATGACGGTTGTAGTAGTTCTCCACGTTTTGACTCCGTACAGTAGAACTGTTTTGACGTTCATACTAAAGATTCTGACTTCGATGTTGACTGACAGTTGTTTTGAGCTGTAGGAATGCTGCCATCACTTTGTCAATCCTTTTCATCACATCTGCACCAGATCCTCTCTTTAATAATGATTCTACCCAGATACTTATATGTCTCCACCTCTTTCAGAGCTTCTCCATCAAGCGTTTGTGTGTGTGAAATAGGAGAGCTAGGTCATCTACGAAGTCCAGATCGTTTAGCTGCATCGAACATGTTCACCGTATTCCATGCTTTTTTCGAGATGTAGAGATCTTCGTAATCCAGTCGACCACCAGAAGATAGAGAAAAAATGAGAGTAAGAAGCCTCGTCTGATACCGGTCTTCACTTGGAACTCGTCTCTCATCTGTTCCTCTTGCACGACTTCACAGTGTATTCCGTGTGATATTGCCAATCTTCTCAGATACAAAATAGCGTGGAAGAAGGTTACATGAGGTTCCTCTGTCCATGATATCAAGGAATATATATACTGAATCTTCAGAGAATGAGATTTAAAGTTTTACAATTTTAATAAATCTGATCTTGTCAATTATATCTTGGCATGTTTGCATTCAGATCAGAGCTAATACTTTACATTTTGACGGCATCATTTAATAACTGTTCACTAATGTTAGATGAATACATTGACTATATTTTATACTTTTATTGCCCATTTTGTCCAATATATCATATTCTGTGTATTTATTTCAGAGTGATTCTAATACTTTTCGTGACATACCTACAAAAAATCTCACTAACTCTACAATTCCTCATGAAATAAAACTAACTTCTTCTGATACTGTGACACCATCATCATCATCATCATGGAATCACATATTGAATTTCAATAACTCTGAAACCATTCATCAGCAAAAATATGACAATACTTTAAGACCAACTAAAGATGAATTAGTTGAAAAGCAGGCATTTCTAAGAAAACAACGTGATCTACTGATCGAAATGCGTCAGAAAAAGCGTGAAAAGCTATTTTCTGATCATGTACAAACTTTAACAGATAACAGTTTTGTATATACTAGTAATGTAAGTTGATTGTAATAATTTACCAAACAAATTAATTGAAAATTTCATCTTTAATCTATACAGTAGATACATGAATTATACTACAAAGGCTTTTGTGAAATACTCTCCGCAAATTCATTTAATGCTGATAACTGTTTAAGAATATTGTGGATAATAACGTTTATGTGGTCACTATCATAACTAAGGACTACTATCAACTTCCTAGTTGATGAAATTACTGAATTTTAACAATTTAGCGTTTCTATTTTTTTGATCATCATTTACTGCTCATCTAATGTTTGATGGTAAGACTATAATTTATGGACGACCTTTGAGTGACGGTAGACTGACCTTAAGACTGTCCATCTAATAACTAGGACCAGATGAAAGTTATAAACCTGCATAAGGAATTCGAATTTTGATTTACAGTTGATGGTTAGGGTTAGGAATTAGATAAATGGTTTTCATCACGATATGTCAAAACGGTATTTAACCAAATGAGTTGACGAATTTCGCGCCAAAATCCGAGACCTGTTTTCTTATATCTGACTGGTTCGTCCATAAATTATAGTCTCGCCTTTCTGATCATTTGAAATTAAGGTAATTATAATTCTGATAAGACGTAAAAATAAGAAGGTATCTAAAGAAGATAAGGTTAATTTGATTTATACTTTGTGGAATAGTTTTTTCAACTGCCGGTCGTGGATTTATTGATCAGATTAATGATATAAATTCAGTAGTTTTTCGTTTCATTTCAGAATTTCATTTGTATTTATATCAAAATGACATTTAGACTCCGTTAGGAAAAATTGGTATATGACCATCCTACTGAGATACTCTGTTCAGCGATAGATAATAAACTAATTACCCTTATTCCTTGAGCTATTAGCTTCTTCTCTTCCGTTTATAAAACCGTTCCACTGAAACAGAAGGGCTGGATCTTGGAATTATTCTCTCGGAAGTTTTTGTTATTATTGATAATTTTTTTCTTATTGTACGTGGCTTCTCGGTTTGAAGCGAATACATCATCATTGAAGTTGTAGAATCAGTGCATATTTAATTACCGTATGATTCTTTTTAATTAATAAATACTTTCTCTCGTGATTATCACATTGCGACTATTATTTAGCATGGGATCCTATTCCAATAGCGATGATTGAACAGAAAGGGGAGCGGGCTAATAAGAGTTAATATACTTCCAGTGCTTAAAAGGACAACTAAAGAAAACTTTCACACTTGAAAGTGTTATGTGTCCCTGTCTCGACTAGTAAATTATAAGCAGCGTTCACTCGCGAACCTCCATTTAGTAAGATCACTAGGTTTCGCGGTAAAAGCTTCAAATCTAAGTAATTAAATGGTGATTTATGGTTGCTTCAAGGTTCCATACTAGCCGTTAAACCTGAGTTCAATCCAATATGACATTCCGGATAATTTCTTTTCAGAAGTTACAAACTACTTGCCACTCAACTAAAGACAAAACAAGTCACTATCAAATTATGCGAAACTTCAAGAAACCCACTTTTACTTAATTAGTTCTGATTTTATCCTACCATTTATTTTAGAGAGACCGTAATTCAATCGACAAGGAAGAACATGATAAAGTTATGGAGAAACGTCGTAAGTTATATGAAAAACTAAAGATTGAAGTGATTAATAAAAGTGGTTTTGATCAGACAGAAAAATAAATTGGTCTAATTTCCTTGATTTTCTGATAATCGATCGAATATTGGATGGATGTACATATACATTTTTGAACAATAAATGTATAGCTATAAAACAGTGAATGTGAATATCAGAAGTTTCAATTGGATCTTGACATCGATTCATGGGAAGGAATCTAGATTGTGAGGAAATTTCCACCGAAGAAGATTGAAATGGTTTATGTGGATCCCAGTTTGTTTGCATTTTCACGCACCGTTCTCTTATAAATGCACGATATGTAGAAACACTGATTCCTATCATTTCAATTGCATCATTGTTGTTTGAAATCCTAATGTAATGTTTACATATGACACTGTATAATTTTACCAAAACTAAAATATTTGATTATTCTCTAAGAAATGTATGTATCATCAAAATAATAAGTCAAGGAGTTTACAATAATAAATATCGTTACAGCAGTAGAACTATTGGTATTTATTCTTAAAGACAAAAACCATTGCATCAAATCAGAAATTGCAAACTCTTGGATGATTGGAAGAGAAATATTTGGCTGATTTACCATGTAGAGTCCAGGTCGATTGAACAACTAAATAAGGATTTATTGATAGTAATTGTAACTATCGGAATGAAACCAGTGTCAAACCCGGAAATATAAATAACCCGAACTCACACATGGGTAAGTGGAATATGCCGGAAATCAGCTACAGTAATATTCACGACAACAGTTTACGGTAAACTAAATACTTTAAGGTTCTCCAGCAACACTTACTGAAATCTTGGCTGTGTGGTTCTGGGTACCAAACTAGTATTGTTTGCGAGCGAGAGACGTGTAGTCCCCAGTTATCTTCCTTTACATTTGGGACCACGTAGTGCAGTGAGCCTTATTCGTCCTCGGGAATGGGGGTATTGGCAGATTTCGTATGTAGTGGGAGACAATGTTAATCATTTTGGTTTTGTTATGAGCTTGTCTCATGGGTCTTGAAAAGTCAGATAAGACTTCAGTTTCATTTGTTGGGTATTTAATTTGATCGAGTCCGGAAATTCGACTGGTATGCCTGTACATTTTACAATTACAGACATGGTTCATAACGAATTTAACAGCTTGAAATGTGACTTGTGAAATCTATCGTGACAGTTTGGTTGATGGTCAAACCGGCTACGAAGTAGTTCTGGGGATCGCGCTATTTTGCTCAGCTCTTTTCAGTAGATTAATTGGTAAAGCTACAATAACCAAACTTAGTACGTCGAATTGAACTTTGGGAATTGGCTAGTCTTCCTAAAGTATCTGACCCTAAAAGGCTGATGAAATGTGAAAATAAACTGAATGTTATGCGCGGTCGGTTTTGGAGTCTGATATAACCACTCTGATATCTCACCAGATTGAAGATTTGGCCACTTCGAGTGGAGTGAACTGCATCTTTCCACGCTGGCAAACAAAAATAATGACGACTCTGACAACCCTAATCATATCAAGGTTGAACTACTGTGTGGTAGATCTAGCTGCCTCGATAAAATACCCTTTCATAGTTGCTTCAAATGCAACACATACATATTTATTCACTTATAAATACAGGGCGTGCTGATATGCTACTGGAACCACGAGAGGTTGCTAGGACAGTAAAAGGTCATGTTGGAATTTCTGCCTTTCGTGTTTGTTTTGTTGTCGCCACTTATTCCTCACACTTGAAAAACGAGGAACAACAGTGTATCCCACGTCATGAAGTAAAGACACTAAGAATAGCACCAGAAGATTGTAGTCGAAAGTACACTCAGTATATGTTGATTTTACACTCATTTTCACTAGTAATTAGAATATATCACACTGGAACACAAAAACTAATACTATGAGTAATCATCGTACTAATTTAAAAGCGTAAGCAATGTCGATCATTATTCACAATAAGTAAAATAAAGTAATTTAGGGGTTAACAATAAGTTTAGAATCCTTGCTTCTAGCCACAAGATCGTAAGCAAGTGCAAGACGACGGATCACTGGACTGAAATACTTAAATTGAGCTCTCAATATTATACAGGATCACACTCCCACCCAAGTTCCTACTCCAAGAAGGACTAGTAAACAAAAACGAATTGAGAGAATTGGCTGTTCTAAACTCCCGTTAACTCAGCCAACAGAAGAAAAATAACAAAGCAATAATAATTGTATCGTGTGCTTGTCGCTCGGTAAGATCAGGGAATTGGCATTTTAATGTGCTTTCTGTAGTAGTTGAGTTTATAGAATTATGTTCTACTATGACATTAGTACTGCTCTAACTATAGACCTAGTCCTAATATTGTAGACTTGTCATGATATAACTGCCTAATCTATAAGATCTTATGTGGAAGTCGCATCATCATCTACACCAACTCACTGTATCGTAACAATTACCAATACATACTGGAGAACAAGCTTAGGCTATAGAAAGAACAATATATTTATTATGAATAAAAAATATAAGGCAACATTCCGCAGGGACCACGCCTGCATGGCCGAGTCATGTCATCCAATCAACTCCAATCCATTCAACCCCTTGTTCCCGCCTTCTTCATCGTTAGGTATTTCTCCGCGTTAAATTTCGAATATCTATTTTCTGAGTAGCCTCGTGTTCAGCTTTGAGGATTGTGTGGTTATGGTCCAGTGCCACTACAAGTTCACTGCTACTGTGATAATTCAGTACCCAAGCAGTACTACGGGTTTACGTAAAGTTACACCTGTCCATGGTTCTTGTATATTTGCCCACAGTTTCAAAGAAATGCATCTACAGAACTAACAAAAAATAGAGCTTTATTGAAAATGACCGTATCAATCCCAAACAATGTGCACAATCCATCCGACGCAGACATAATCAAACATGCAACTATGAGAAGAACAATCTGAACTCGTGGACTAATAGTTTCTGACTTTTGCTAATACCTCAGTATCCGTTAACAGTAAGAAGCAGCGGTGTGCGTTGGAAAAAGAAATATCCGAAGCCCAGCTCCAAAAACGTTTAAAGACGAGGGCAATGTTTGGAAAAGTTTGGAGTGCAGCTTATTGGAAGGTTAGGCAGCTTTTGGCAAAGAAACTTGGGACAAATACTGTACAATACTGGGAAGATATCAGTTCAGTGAAGCTACAGCACCTTTACAACAACGTAAATGCTCCAAAAGGCAAACTTTTCATACTGGGAGTAACTTAGGACACAGCATACCTGATGGAGGAGATTTTAATGACATACCATCGTTTAAATGATCCTCTCGAATTTGAGTCAGAGATGAAGAACATTGGGCAGTGAGAAATGCCGCTAGATCGGCGGACACCCAAGAACCAACCAGCATGATGGTTCATCGAGTGTCTAGGCTAGTTGTTGGTAGTCAGGATGAAGCTCACAAACACGATAGGCAACAGTGGCTTTGGCTATCGTGTATCATAAGCCTTCACACCAGGATACCTCGTCCGTCAAACTTTACGAGCATCAAGTCTCCACTTCTGATTTCTGTGAACTTCAGAAATCGAGAGGAATTAACTGAAGTCCTTCAGGCTTGGTACGGTTAAGGCAACGACATCCTCGGTCACATTATGTAGTGTTAACGTTGACCTTGATCGGTAGCGTAACTGTAGAAAAGCCTAATTAGTTATTACTTGGTGCCGTTTAACTTCGGTCAACAACCGGCGGTTTAGAGCACGAGGACCACGACCATGTAAGCAAACCACGCTACACAGGCCAAAAAATTCCGGCACCCATTACACGAGGATTTGGTTAACATACTTTAGACAACAATTCGCTTAAAACTCAGAAGACAGGCACTGCTGTGAATGGATACCTCGTGACGAGACAAACCATTAATGCTTCAGTAGCGACGTAGGAGTTAAACTAGAAGAAACCAAAATAATGTGATGATTACAAGTATTTGAATTATAGTATTGAAGATGGTACAGGTATTCAGTGTTTGACAACGCTTTTACTAGTAACACCTATTATAACTGGTACCCACCAAGAGAAATCAAAAGACAGAATTGAGGAGATCAGAAGTTGTATTTGACGATCGCCATTATGTCGGAATTGTCTGATCTAGTCTGGCTAGCGATCGCAGTAGATGTTGAACACAGCGTTCCCACACGTGATCTGGTGTGGATGCATGATCGATCGCCTTCAGCCAGGTGAGTCCACTAAAAGTAATCTGGTCAGCATCCAATGTCGAATACTTACAGAGCTATTTATTTTGGGGATTAATTTACCGCTACAGTATGAACAAAGAATCCCAGAAATAACGTAATCGTATCAAGAAGTGACAGATAACCACAAACCAATGTACTATATTTGGAATTCGAAATCAAGTATTCAACAAGTACTATGGTATCATTAGTTCATTCAAACACCACATCCGCCACAGCTTAAACTGGTACCTAGATGTCTGTTATTGATTTTAAATCTTCTCAAGTTCATCCTGTGTCTGTCCGACATTGTATTGGATAAAATATCTGTAGTATCTAGGATGTGCTCATTAGTATTGGAATTAACAAACGAAGTCGGAACCGACTCACTCAGAATTGTATACAATCAGCATGTCGGTTTTGTACTGAAATCAATTATATCTAGAATTCCAACCATAGACTTTTCAACACTATCCTCCCCCACGAAATAATGTTATTATTATTATTATTATTTACAAACATCTTATGGGTACATAAGTGTTGTGAAGAAACCATTTTGGGTTTCTTCGAAAAATGCAATAACACACAATTTTCAATAATGTTAGCATTATACTTGCCGTATTAAAAAAAAGAATTTAGAGTAATAATAGTAGAATATTATTAATAATAAATCGGGCCTGTGCAATTGAGAAGAATATTGAATTGAGTTTAAAGAAGGAAACGTAGAAAATAAGGGAATAGAAATAAAGGAGTCTTTTCAACACTATCCTCCCCCACGAAATAATGTTGTACATTTATGTCCCCAATTTATGAATGATGTGGCTTCATTTAAAACATATTTCTCACATTGACTGGAGTAAACATTAGAAGTGACTTTGCGATAAGGATAAACAGCATTTGATATGAAATCATCAGAATTGTAATTAAAATCGAGCTCATTTAATACTTGTGCTTCGCATTGAACAAGAAACAAATGCATTGTGAAAACAACTAATACTTGGTATGACATCAAGCTTTAACTCTCTTGAAATAATTTCCTTGAATTTATTAGGAATATCATTGCAGAGTAATGGATCATTAGAAAAATCAGCATCCATCAAAACTACATCAGGTTTTTGATCATGATTAGGTTCATTCAACATATTTCCTTCAGATTTGTAAGAAATTTCGTCAGAAATAAGTGAATCATTAGGAAAAACCATATCTGGTACAATAACCTGAGAAATCTGATAAGTTGGTTGATTAGAAACTGTCGTCTCGCAAAGACTCTGAGTTTCACTTAACTCTGAACTGCTATATGAATCTACACTGTCTTTTAAAATCATTGGTAGG